CCACGGGCATTTCGCCCCCGCTGCCCCCGGGCCAGACATTCGGCGCGATTCAGCAGTCTTGTTCAATCTTCTCCGCCGGGGCCGTGGGAAGGAAGAAGCTTGGGCTGCCCGAGGAATCCTCTATTTTCCTTGCCGTCGCGAATCTTTCGACGATTCGTGTTAGCAACGCGCGATCTCGTCCACCGACGCGCACCGGGGAAGAACCTGAGCCAGGCTTACTCGAGGCCGCCGGCATATCCACGGACGGTTATTTGCGCGAAACTGACGCAAGTTTTAGCCTCGCTCGGCCATTCGGCGTTCGTTCGACCTCCTCGCGGAGAATAAAACCCTGAGACTCGCGTCTCGACCGCGTCTGCGGCCACAGTTGCCGCGAATTGCCGTGGTCGGTCGGGAATTCAGATGAAACATCCCGATTATGCCGGACGCGTGTCATAATTAATTTTAAAATGCTTTTGTATTTATGTACAGCCCGTAAAATGTAATATAATAAATGATATAATAAGATAATATAATAAATTTAATAATAAATTATCGCAATTGCATTATCGTAAAATCGTCATAAATGGCCAATTAATGATTTTATTTATGTAATATGATTTATATTTCCGCAGGTATAATTTACATAATCAAAAAGGTATTTCGGTGTGCGTCCTTCTGTGTGTGGTAGATAAGCGGTATCGCGCGCGTTCGTCGATTGTCACGATCGCCACGACGACGAAAAATCCGCCGCTTTAACGTGCTCGTACCTTTGCCCTTTCTCGCATTTCGCAAATACTCGCGGGTTAAATGTCCCACCGAACGCGATTGCGTCTGCTCGACGTTTCTCTCTCTCTCTCTCTCTCTCTCTCTCTCTCTCTCTCTCTCTCTCTCTCTCTCTCTCTCTCTCTCTCTCTCTCTCTTCCCCACTCTCTCCCTAAACTCTCTACAGAGTTTGTTTCTTTTCTCCTCTTTTGTCGTTCTCTTTTTTGTCCTCGCCCCTCTCTCTCTCTCTCTCTCTCTCTCTCTCCCATTCCTTTTTTTTCTGCCGCATCTTCTCAACACGCATCTGCACCTCCGTTTCCGTTAAAACGAGCCCGACACGCAAGTGCCTCTAACGACGGCGGTAACGACGGCAGCGCGGAGATTTCAATTTTGAAAGCACTCAGTATAATGTCCGACGAATTGCCGGCGTAGCTGAAAATAACGGGGATTATCCGCGACGTACACAGCCGTCATCTCCCATGACGATAACGATAATGCCCGGTGCCGGACTACGCTGCAAAGTATAACCTAATTATCCGCCGGGCACGACGCTCCCAGCTTTGCGCCACGCCGCGTAATGCGCAATTGCATCCGATGTATGGTGCGTCGGCTGCATCTTCATTACGGACTCGGCCGCGTATGAATTCATAGTCGGCCCGCCGCGACTCGTTTCCCGCGCGGCGCCGCGTCGATTGCGCCGCGCCGCGCCCGGCCGTTTAAATGCGATGTTGATACACGCGCAGCAATCCCAAAATAACGCCGCGAAACGATGCGCCCGCTCTCACGTTTGCGCGTTGCGTAATTGAAATCCTATTCGATGCGGAAATAATCGACTCGTCTTTCTCTCCGCTCTCTTACGCCGCACGGCTTCGCCGTGATTAATGTGCTTTACACCGTTGCGCAGGAGCGCGCGCGCGCGCGCGCGATACGGTAATAGATGCGTACGCGCGCGACGTTTTTACAATTTTACAATTTAATTCGGCGAGAAATACGCGCGTGCGTTTTCGCTAATTCCATTGCGCCGGCGGAGGCGTAATGCGCTGATGAGATTTTAAAACAGCATTATTCCGTTATGCGTTTTTATTCCACCGCTCATTTGTGACAGAAATTAACACATCTTTCTCTCTCTCTCTCTCTCTCTCTCTCTCCCCTCTCTATCCTCCTCTTGCCGTTATATCGTCCTCGCGGATCGACACGGCTGCAAAGTTGCAAGTATTAAATATATAATTATGTCACTGACTGTCACGCGCGCGTGAGTCGGGATAATTCGATTCGCTGATTTATCTTATACGGCCAAGGCGCGTGAGCGTTTCGTCGGCGTTCCCTTCGCAGCGGTGCATTTCGTGAAAGATTAGCTTTCTCCGTTCTCTCTCTCTCTCTCGGACATTATAATGTGACTCTATGTGTGTCGCGTCATATTTAATTCATGGCCCCAAATCATAACCACTGCCGGGCAATTTGCGGAAATGGGACGCTGTCGTGCGCAGCGATATAATTATCCTGACGTTGATGAAGTTTTCATTAATGGACTGTTGGTATTCCCGGAAAAGTTGTCCGACCTCGCGAATATAAAACGAATATGCATAGCACACATCCGGTCCGATGCGAATGTGCGCGTGCACGCGCATGCGCGTGTGTCGTATAATTGCATAATGCCGTATAATTATATAATCAGTCAGCAGGAAAGAATGCTTAGAAAATCGATCGTTTCCTCCGAGAATTGATTCTTCGCACGAATTCTGTCCCGATCGATTTCTGTGCAAATCGATTCTCTCGAACGTTGGCCATAATTGCTCATCAAACGAAACAACATTAATGAATATAAGTGTTGGGTGTACAAATTAGTTCGGTCCGTTTTCAAAAAATGGCTCCGGCTGTTATGAATGGTTCATAGTGACTGCCGATTTTGGCGGTTTCAGAGAGGTTAGACATCTGCCAATAATATTCGGTTTATATCGCTTTGAGTTTCATACAAAAACCTTGCTTTTTACAGTGTTGAAAATGTCGAATTTTGTGTCAACCAAGCAGCATTTGCGGGAGGTTTTAATGTTCTGCTTTAATTGGAAGAAAATTGCAGCTGAAGTCCATCGAATGCTTGTTGAAGTTTATGGTGACGCTGCTCCAACTGATAAATCATGCAGGGAATGGTTTCGACGTTTCGAGGATGGAGATTTCAGCGTCGAAGACAAGCCTCGCTCTGGACAGCCAAAAAAATTCGAGGACAAAGAATTAGAGGCGTTACTCGAAGAAGATCAGAGTCAAACGCAAGAGGAGCTTGCAGAATCATTGGGAGTGACTCAACAAGTCGTTTCCGTACGATTGAGAGACATGGGAATTATTCAAAAACAAGAAAATTGAGTGCCTTATGAACTGAAACCGAGAGACGTTGAAAGGCGTTCTTCGTGACAACGCTCGGCCTCATGTCGCAAAAGTCGTAAAAAAATATTTGGAAACGCTCAAATTGGATGTTTTACCGCACCCGCCGTATTCTCCGCCGGACATTGCTCCTTCTGATTATTGGTTGTTCCGAAGGATGCAGCACGATTTGGCAGGTCACCGGTTCACTTCTTTCGCAGATATCGAAAATTGGCTCCAAATTTGGATCGCCTCAAAAGACGAGTCATTTTTTCGAGATGGAATTCGAAAATTGCCTGAGAAATTGGAGAAAGTAGTAGTCAGCGATGGAAAATACTTTAATTGATCTGTTCATTCATTTTGTTTTGAAATAAATACATCTTTCAACACGAAAAAACGGACCGAACTAATTTGTACTCCCGATATATCAACGAGAAGAATCGAAAGTCGACTCCTTATCGGGAAAAAGAATCGGTTTGTAAACTCGAGCGAAAGAGGATCGATCTAAGAAAACCGGTTTTTCGAGGAAAAGGATCGATTTCCCGCAGGCCGAGATCGCCCATTATCAGCATGCAGCTTGAAGTGAACATGAGAAATATCAGCGGGAGACTCGCAAGTGCCATGAAATGATCGGAATGAAACGGGCGAAGGCGAAACCTTTTAACTCGCGTTCCTCGCGTGCGACGCCGGAAACACGTCGGACGAAGAAGACTTTTCTGATAAGACGACCGAAAATGTCGCGCTAAGCGCGACATGCGACGGCCAATCGCGCAAAACGTCCTTTCTTCTCTTTTTGTATTGAGAAAAAAGTACAGTCACGGAGAACAAGCTGTAAGGCTTATCGCCCTCTGCCATAATCATTAGTTAGCAAAAATAAGCTGTGAATCTGTAAAGTCGCAGGGCGGTGGGTGGGGGGGGGGAGGAGGGCGCATTTAAAGTGACGCCAGCAGAAATGTGTCTGTTCTCTGTACAAGTGGCGCTATCGAGCGATGCGATGTTGGACGTATCAGTTTCCGCGGCGATACCGCTGGCTGGTAACGTAGGTCGCGTTCTGGCTGTCGAAGGATACAGGGAGAGGAGGCGTTTGACGTCGAGCGTGCACCGTTTGCAGCCACGCGTGCTCCTGCCGCGTGCGTGGAGAAAGTGAAAATTAATTGCACACGGACGGGCTCGCAGCGAAAAACGCGCCAAATGTCTCTTTACCGACCGCTCGACCGCCAGGACGAATTTCATTTAGCCCTGGAACGTCTCGCGGCGATTCAAAGGCGGTTACGATTTGTGCTGCAATCCGTTTAAACCGCCGCATCATATCACGACGTATTAAATGCCGGCTTGTTTACTACGCTCGGCGGCATGAGCGATTATAACGCCGAGCGGACAGCGCGAAACGCGATAATCAAATGAACAAAGCGAGAGCGGGCTTTACGGTCGCTGATAATCGGCGAATTGCTGGCGATTAACGGCGCTTTGATGTCGGTGACTTTCGTGCGCTTTGTCGTGCGACGTCACGACGAAATTATTTATATAAAGCGATTAACCGACGGCGCGGCTGATTCTTTCATATGTGACCAACTTAGCGGGGCAAATTTCGCCCCGGGGCGAGCACGCAACGGGCATTAACTTCTGTAATATTCAGCGCGGGAGAGCCGCGCGGAAAAAAAGGAACGTCAGGATGTAATAACGGAAGGTAAATGAGCGAGGGTGCGTGAAAAAGAGCGATCCTTTGCGAGAGATAATCCGTTCAAGTTTTACTCTGTGCATTAATCGCTAATAATACAACTCGGTGGTTTAGTCTCCTTAGAATACGCTACGCCGATCGGTGCACGTGAGCTATTTACACGATCGTATGGAATAATATTGATCCGTATTGATCAACGATTATACAAATAATTTACCAACTATAGACTGCTTCAAAAAAAAAAAAAAAATTCCGAAAAATGGGACAGTGTAGATCGGCGCCGGAAATTTAGATCGACACTCGCGAGAAGAAAGCGAGAGCGTCGATCGAGCGAAGATCGGTCGCGAGCGCACAGATTCCGCGAGTACGTCTGAATGAGAATCAGCGCGGTACGTCTCCTTTTCTTTTTTCGAAGCAGGCTCTGTTACGCGACGAAGGTACACAAGATCACGGTTTTTCCTTCTTCTTTTTTCTCGCATCCCTTCTTCCTGTTAGGTCGACGTATTAATATGCTAATGCTCGGAAGTATACACAAGAAACTCTTAGCCGTCTACGTAGTAAAAATAGCTGTACACTTTGTAACAACACCAGTTAACCCTAGGCTCTATACAAACTGAAAGTACAAATTTCCGCGGCGGACCTTCCGCGTCGCGTCGCGGCGAAGCTTTTATCCTGTAAAGCGAATATAAATAGCTAATAGAATGTTTCATGACTCGCCCCGACTCGCACGAAGACCTCGGTGGACTCTCCTCGACTCGGTGTCGCGCAGTTTTCCCTTTTTCTCTTTTCCTTTCTCTCTCTCTCTCTCTCTCTCTCTCTCTCTCTCTCCCTCTCTTCGTGCCTCTTTCTCTCTCCTCCTCTCGAGAACAGACTCGAGGCGGACTCGCAGGCGGAACGCAACGATCTGCGCGAACGTCGCGGCGGCTGAGTTATCTCTGCGTATGGAATTCTACGTTATATTGCACTACGACTTTGCGTCTCGCCAATTGTCCCTCAGCGTCCTCTCAGCGTACGCAGGATCAGCCGGGTTAGTCTTGCTAGCTCACTCGTCCAGCTCCACCTGGTGAAGCAGATCCGGTTCTGAAAGAGGAATCGAGCGCGTCAATGCGAATGAGACGGTACTCGCTAGCCCGCGGTAGCTCGCGAGCAAGAATGTCCTTCTCTGCGGCTTACTACCGTTCCGGTTCTCCTCCACGTAGAGACTCGCCCTTTGCGAGCGCCTGTTCTCGTTGGAATATCGGATTCTCGGCTCGACCCTCTGGCCCGGCACGTAGGACGGCGTGGTGAAATCGTCCGGGCCTTCCAACACAGGCATGTCGGATCGTTTCCTGCAGATCGCCAGGCCGATGATCATCCCGATGCCGATGAGAATCAACGCCGCCACGCCTTGAACGAGAAATCAGGGTCAGCGGCGATTAGGCAGCCGAGTAGTCGGCCGGCGAATGCCTGATAATTTTGTAGTTGGATCTTCGGGCTCGGGCTCGAGCTCGAGCGGGTAAAATCGGCGTACAGTGCGAAGCGCGAAGTTAATGCGAGCGAGATTGACCCATATAATGGCGCTTCCGTTTCCGGTGTAGTATTAGCCATACAGGTACACTATAATTTTCCAGCTGAAATTCTGGCCTAGCCGCTACGCGCGATGCAAAGCGCGCGCGAGCTTAATTCAGGCAAAATCGACCCGCGCAGTGGGCAGCTTCCGTTTCCGGTGGAGAGCGATGGCGTGGAGAGCGATCGCGGGGGTGTGAGCGAGGCGTGAGGTGCTTGTTAAAAAAAAGCCAATGGCGTCGTCGATTTTACCTGTACCTGTCAATGCGATCGCGATGATCATGTTCTCCGAGCTGGCTCGCGGCAGCGCCTTCTTCAGGTCCTCCAAGAATATCCCGCTCCTCTCCACTTTGCCGCCCGTCGGCTCCGCGACCCTCACGTGTTCCAGGAGAACGGGCTCGCTCCTGCCGCGGCCGTTCACCGCGTAAATGTACACCGTATAGTCGTAGCCCGGCTCGAGGTCGTGCAGCTGGAAGTTCGGGCTGGGATTCATGTCCTGATAGATGGGCGGCGAGTCTCCCACCAGGCCCTGATCGCTCTGAGGTGTCTGAAGGGTGTTGTACAACCCTTCGCCAACCTGGCCGATCCCGGCATTCTTCGGGGATCCTCGGACTTCCAATAGAAAGTGCTGCGGCGACCCGCCGTCCGAGCCAGGGATGCAATTAACCTCCAGCGAGTTGCTCTCGTTGCTCAGCGAACAGTCCGTAGGCGGCTGCGGCGGTTCTGCGCGATAAGAGGAAGATTCGAGAAGGTTCTGATTCTCTTTCCCTTCTACGCCTGCGCGCTCGCGCACGCCGCGAACAATCGGTTCTACGCCTTCTGGACGATTGAGATCTCACCCGATACCCGTGAGATTTAAATACCCTTTGCACTCGAGGAATATTTCCGCATTTCCTTCCACCAACTCGATAATTAATACAAATATAATTTCTAAATTCCCGAAAAAGAAAACTACAAGAAAGGATCTTCATTTCCCTTAATATTGTCGCTGCATTTTATTATTTCGTTGCTGTCTTTAATCTTTAAATCTTTTTCATGCCAGCATACCTGGCATTCCGAGTTGCCGGAATAAATTTGCATGCCATTCGCGTGCTGGCATTCCGAGTACAAAGGGTCAAGCGTGAAAGGGAGAACTAGATACAGTTGTCCGGAAATTACAATTATTATTAGTATTTAAAATATAGTCGTATTATATCGCTTCTCGGGGCCGTGTAATTAGCAACTCGTGACCGTAATAATTAGGGAACTATAATGATATCTGAAACGCGCACACATTGTGTACTAATCACACAGAATACTGTTATCAACTCGGTAACTCGCGTTTGTGCGTTTCGACTTTTATTACTGAAATCCGCGGGGAACGTGTGTGCTTAACAGGCGTGATTAACACCCACTAGCTGGCACTATGTTGAATACACAGGGTGTCCTCTGCCGTCCGATACCGTTGCTCGCCCAACAGGCCAGCGTGCCGTAATCGTTGACCCCGGGTGTGTACTCCAGCACGCTCACAAGCCTTTTATTCTCGGCCCTCGAGTTCGGCATAGGCAACACGTCGCCGCGGGTGCTGTTGTACGTCCACGAAAACTTCACGTCGTCGTCCGGCACCGCCTCCACCTCGCACCTCAGCGATACGGTCTCGTGGCGCGCCACGGCGATCTCTCGCCACTGGTTACCCTCTCGGCATCGCGGCGCGTCTGTCGGACATCATTCCCGGGCGTCATCGTGAGAAATAAACGAAACGATAAAAAAAGAAACGCCTCCTCCGAAGTCGATTTCGGAAACTTTGCTCTTGGTCATAAGGTTGGTAGGCCTCCACCAACTAACTCTGATACGTGCCGTAATTGATCAGCTGATCGATTCAAGTCAAGATAACAAGCGACAAAAGATTTCTCTGCTGCAAAATGCTACAAAATTAATGGCTACAACCAACAAGTTTTGTAAACAAAACTAGCACATGGCTGTGTGATCACGTCCAAACGTGATCAGCCGATTAGTCTGAGGCCTCTGCTACCCTTGTAACCAAAACCAAAAAGTTTCCGAAACCGATCTCGGAACAAACCTAGTGAACACACTCGCGACTCTCGCGAGCATCCATCTTCGACTCTGACGAGACTCGGTGAACTCGTTTTTGCGGAGCGACAAATTGAGAGACACATGTTCTCTTATCTCAGTTGAGACGCACTCGATCAAACGCTACCCGCTCGTTGGATCTCCACCCTTTCCCCGTTATCTCGTAATTATCTTATGTATAAAATACAGTCGAGAAGCCGACGGCTATTGTCTCGGTTATCCGAAATATTTCCCGACGATTTGGCAGAAGCAATTGCTCATACTTCACGTTTCTTCCTCACCTCCGCGCGGACAAATCGCGTACTCACATTTTATTTGAATAAGAAGCGGCAGACTGCGGGTTTCGCCCACGATGTTCATGGCCGAGCACGAATACTCGCCGGTGTGCGCGAGCGTGAGCTCCCGGATGGTGAGCGACTTGGAGGCCAGCAGAATCCCGGCGCTCACGTCGTGCTCCAGTTGCTCGTCCTGCGAGGACACAAGAGAAGAAGCCGCGGCAATGAATCATCATCTCAGGCTGGCGACTCATAACGAGGCTCTTTTTTCCCGACCGGTAGTTCTCTACTTACGTCGCGGTACCAGATCACTCGCGTCGGTGGCGGGTTGCTTTGAACGTTGCAGACCAACATAAGATCGTCGCCCTCCCTCAATGTGTCGAAGACGTAGCCAGTGGCCAAATGGGCGACGACTACCGGAGCATCTGTTCGTAGTTCGGTAGAAGCGTTGCGTCATTATTTATTACAGCGTTCGACCTCGGACCCGACGAGGTGACGCGAGAGCGACGGAAGAAGCAAAAAACGATTTCTACGACTCCTATCGAGAAAGACGGAGGAAGAGAGGGAAGGGGGGGAAAGGGGCAACGGGGGGCGCGAGATTTTGCAATTGTTACGTTTGAAGAACGGAGTAGTGATATTAGTAAGATTTCTGCTCAAAAAAGGCAAAGAATACTAAGGACGCCCAAAAATATGTAAAATTATTATTGCTTTAAAAAAGAATTAATTATACAGCTGGATACGTGTAGGAAGATACAAGCGACTCAGCCTAATCGCGGAGATTCTATTGCGGGTTGGCAACTAAGTGATTGCGGATTTTAAATAAGAATGAAAATTCAAAATTTTAAATTTGCTTTTTTAAATTTTTTTCAATGCATGTATGCGATACATTGATCTTCTCTGCAATATCACGTGTTGTGCTATGACGATCTGAATCGATAATGGGCCTTGATATGGGTCTCATCGACTTCAACTGGACAGCCAGATCGTTGAGCATTTTTCAATGAAAAATCACCAAAACGAAATCTGGCAAACCAATTTTGACACTGCCTTTCTTTCAAGGCTTCATTCCCATATACGGCACATAACTTCTCGCGTGCTTGCGATGCGTTCTTGCCTTTTCGGAAATAATACAATAAAATATGTCTGAAGTGCACGTCTTGCTCTTCCATTTTTAAATTGGGATAAAAACAAAACTAAAGAACTAATCGATATAATTTTTGTACTAAATGAGAGGTAGAAGTCCAAACAATAAGAAAAAAATATAGGTTAGGTACTTTGAACACGTTAACGAAACAAAAAAAAGTGTAAAATCCATCTGTCGACAAAATCCGCAATCACTTAGTTGCCAACCCAATAATTGCCTGCGAAGCAAACACGTAGCTTATCTGAACTATGCTAATGAATTGCTGAAACTTGCGGAACAAAAGCTAATTGTTTTATGCACGTCAACGAATCAAGACCAAAGAGAGTAAATCCTTTTGTCTCTTTTATCGCCTCTTTTATCACGTCAGTCTCTCTTTTTCCTCTGTTTACCGAAATCCGGATTTAACTACTACTACTGTGATCAAAAAGTGTCCGAACTTCATTTTTTTAAAATCACAGGTAAACTGTGAATCAAATCCGTTTGCTTTCTTAAGTTGATGCACATGTCCTTCACATTTGGTGAAAAAATCATGGCGTTCCTTCAAGCTTTACGATGTCGAAAAATATGGAGCAAAGAATTTGTTTGAAATTTTGTGTTGCGAACGAAATTTCGTTAACAAACGCATTCAAAATGTTGCAAAAAGCTTATGGCGATGATTGTTTATCGAAAACAAATAAAAGTTTGAGTGATTTAAGAAGTTTCAAGAAGAACGAGAATCCGTTGAAGACGACTCACGCTCTGGAAGACCATCAACGTCAGCGGATGACGCTCACATTGAGAAAGTGAAAGAATTGCTGCTCCAAAATCGTCGATTGGCTGTGCGAGAGATAGCAGATGAAGTTGGAGTATCATTTGAATCGTGCCAGCACATTTTGTCCAATATACTGGATATAAAACGAGTCGTATCGCGCTTCATTCCGAAGAACCTGAATTTTCTCCAAAATTTTCTCCAAAAACTCAACGAGTGCCGCTCGCCGCAAGCACCGTATTCGCCAGACATGGCCCTCTGCGACTTTCTCCTGTTCCCCCTACTGAAAAAAACCACTTCGCGGACAGCGTTTCGAATCGATTGAAGACATCAAAGGAAAATCGCTGCGTAAATTGAAAGACATACCGTCTGCCGCGTATGAGCGATGTTTCCAGGACTGGATCAAACGCTGGCATATGAGCGTTGCGAGCGATGGGGACTACTTTGACGGAGACTATAAGAATTCTGATGATTGAATCGTAATGTTGATTTTTAAAAATAAAATTTGAATACTTTTTGATGACACAGTAGTATAAGCTTGACTGTCGGTTATATTCACTTTGTTGCTGACTGTGCTGACACGTTTACCCGGATAAAAGTTTAAATATTTCTTACAATACTCACAAAAGACGCGAAGCGTTTTGACCTCCTCAAGCGATCCTCCGGGAAATCTGGGATTCTCGGCTCGGCAGAACAGCTCCTTCTCGTCGTCTTCCCTGCCGAGGACCAACACCAATTTGCTCACCGTCGTGTTGCTCCTCTGCGTGGTGGACACGTTGGGGTCGCCGATCACTTGCTCGCCCAGCCTCCAGATGATCCTGGCCGCCGGGGAACTACCCCAGGTTTCGCACCTGGCGGTGATCGGACGGCCGGCGAAGATCTGGCTCTCGTTCAGAACGATCTTCACCGTTGCCGGTTTCACTAGGGTGCGAGAAACGGCGCGAATGAAGCGCATCAAGGGTCGAATCCTGATTGACCGAGATATCGAGAGTCTCGCGGTCTCCTTTTTTTGTTTTTCGTCTCTTTTTTTTCTCTGCGATGCATCGCAGCCACCTCAGGAGCTGTTCGCTCTCGCATCCTCGCGTCTCGTCGCGCGCGGAGACAAAGGCAAGGAGCACGTGGCAGCGCAGCCGCTCTTTTGCTCTCCATCTTGTTTTCCGTCTCTCTCTCTCTCTCTCTCTCTCTCTCTCTCTGTCTCTCCCCTCGCCGGCAGAAATCCGCATCCGCGGGCGCAGACGCGAAATATGAGTCCCGCTGATGGAAAAAACTACGAACCGAGCGTGTTTCGATGTCGACGAAAATAACGATCCGAGAGGGTGCCAGATGCCCGCGATATTTTTATACTTTTAGCCGACAATTCCGCGAAACGCGACCGTCAAAGGACCTTAAGGAGATCCGCGCGGAATCGTAAGAATTCACTGCGCTTCCGCGGCCGCGGGTCAGTTGCTCTCGCGCTCGCGCGCGCTATATTTAAATTTCTTTCCTCGCGCCGCGTCCTAGGAGGAGCGCGGGAGCTCAGGGCGGAGGGGGTGAAATTAAATGGCGCGGGAGGGACGATCTATCGCTGTGTAATTCCGCCGTTTGTACACAACTCCGGGAGGAGAGTCGCGGAAGAAACGCTCTCGAGGCCTCTCATGGGCAAAGTGCGACGGGCCATCCCGCTCATATTTTTCGGCTCGACCCGAAAATAAATACGAGAGCGCGTGCGAGAGGCGAGAACGCAAGGAGCGGAAGTACGCCGTGTCGATCGGATAAAACGTGTGCCAAGAGAGCCCTTTAACACGCGCCGCTCGAGAGCGCCGTTTTAGCACGTGCTTTGAGAGCCGGAGGACGGCCTTGGGAGGAGAGAGAGAAAGAGAGAGAGAGAGAGAGAGCGTGCGCGCGCGAGTACGCAGTTTCTACGATTTTATTTTAAGCAGATGTCACGTTAGCGCGGCATTTATGGTCCGCTTCCTCGAAACGCCCGCTTTGCATTTCGTCGCCGCTCGGACGCGGCCGCGGACGTTGACGGAAAGTTGAGAAAACCGCCCCGCCGCGCCGGCGCGGCGCGGCGGTGATAAGACGATCGCGAGGAGAGATTTACGAGCTCGTTAGCTCGTAATCTCGGTCCGTATTCTCTCGGCCGACTCGCTTCCGATCATTCGGGACCGCGCCTGTAAATATATTGGATGATTGCATAAGTTCGTGCCCGATTTTCATAAACGGTGTTAACTTACCGCATAGCGGAGCTCCGGTGTTTTCGTTTGGTTATGTTGCGTGCACTGAATAGGTGACAGTGTCTCGTGTCACTTTAACATCGTTCAGATCATCGTTCAGATAAGTCGATTTGTGCGTAAGAGAGATTTCAAAAAATGGAGAACGAAAAGGTGCATTTGCGGCATGTAATTTCGGAAAGGCGTGAGTGTTGGGACTGCATAAAAAAACATTCAGAGCGTTTATTTGGACCGTGCTCCTGCTCTCCGGACAGTTAAAAAGTGGTTTGGCAGATTTCGAAATGGCGATTTCAACTTGGAAGATCAACCTCGCTCTGGACGGCCTTCTGGCATTGACGACGACATTGTGTGTGCCCTAGTGGAAGAAAACTCAAGGATTACAACTGAGGAGATTGCTGAGAGGCTGAAAACTGATAATTCAGTCGTGTTTCGCCATTTAAAAAATCTTGGACACGTTTCCAAGCTCGATACATGGATGCCGCATCTTTTGACTAAAAGGAATAAGCTGAACCGCCATTACTCTCCTCGCACGTAAGAAAAAAGAGCCTTTTTTGGATCGAAAAGTAACAAGCGATGGGAATTGGATTCTGTGCAACAACGTACAGCGAAAGAGGACCTGGAAAGAAGTAGCTGAAGGTGCAGAACCCGTCGCAAAAGCTGGCCTGCATCCACTGAAGGTGTTGCTGTATGTTTGGTGGGATTGCAGGGGAATTATTCATTTCGAACTATCCCGACGCGGCGAAACAATCACGGCGGACAAGTACTGTGAGCAACTCACTAGACTCGATGCGGCTATTCGAGAAAAACGTCCGGTTTTTGCCAATCGGAAAGGCATCATCTTCCACCACGACAATGCTAGATCACACGTCGCCCAACAGGGACGCTGCGAAAACTGCGGGAGTTGCAATGGCAAATTCTCCCAGCACCCACCATATTCTTCAGATATTGCGCCTTTAGCTTTTCATCTGTTCCGGTCTTTGCAGAATAGTTTGAATGGCGAAAATCTCAAGTCCGAGGAAGCTGTCGAAGACCACTTCGAACCACGAACTTTTTTCAAGGAACGCCAAGTCCTTTCTTCGAAAATGGAAAATCGACAAGCTTGTAGGATCGTTGGAAAACAATTGTGGAGAAGAATGGAGACTGTATAATTGATTAATAAAACGGTATTCTTTAAAATTTAATCTATTGAAGTTTATCTTCAAATCGGGCACGAACTTATGCAATCATCCAATACAATCACGCGGTACAATCGTGAAAGATGTGTGGCGCTTACGATATATGTCGAGGGGCACTTCGCGGACGGTAGTTCTCCCTATCGGTCCAGACTGAGCCCGGCACTCGAGCTTCGCTCCCCACAGTGACCTGGTGACCCGGTCGATGAACAGGTGGTTCACTGTAAATCTACTCGGCGAGCCGATAGACGCGGTGTCGACTACGGCGTCCAGCAACTGGCCGTCCTTCCACCACGTTACCGAAGGCTTTGGTCTGCCTGTGTATATAAGTGTGCCAATTTTCAAAAATGTCCTCGCGGATACAACAAGGGGCGCGATTAACCCTTCAACAGTAGGATGAGTGAAGATTCACCTGATGATATTTTTTTACACATGACAGCAGCACGTTAAATACAGCGGTGTCCTGCTAGGATTTATAATATCCATAAATATCTTAGGCCATTTATGTTCCAATAAAAGAAATTTGTTTTACAGTGAAAGATTATTTTTCTTTTAAAAATTGTATGTGATTTAAAACTGTTTTACACATTGCTACAAATTTTTACCAAATATTTATTGTTCATGTGTACTCAAAAAAAGAATAAAAAAACTTAAAATGGGTGAAAATTCACTCATCCTAGCAAGTCGATAGGAAGTGACAAAAATCCTGGTAGTTTTTTATCTAGGAGGTAAAAACATTCCAATGTTCAAGGATTAATAGGCTTGGTACAAAACGCGGATTACCTCCGGACGATCAAGGTGAAAAGCCTAGAAGCGAATAAAAGCCGACAGTGCATCGCGAGCCTCACAATATTATATTTTATTGAATCATTAACTAAATTATCGTTTAAATTATACTTAAATCACCATCTTGTATTTGAATTATTATTTTGTATTCTGGGATTGTAGTAACGTTTAAGTTATCGCATCCAGTTATTGCTTTCTCGTTCTTACTGATTGCACAGAGCGTCCAAGTATCTTTCTTTAATGTTTTCACTTTGATCAGCCTCTTTATTTTATACATACCCCCGGACACTTGACAGGTCAAAGCGAGGTCGTAACCCTCCAGGAAAGGGCCAGCCGGTCCTTTCACCTCCCGTCCCGTACCGTCGTATATCACAAGGTTAGCTGGCTCCTCTGGAAGAAGCAAAACGTAACGTAACGGCGCGCTGTAACGACGACATCGGTATCCTTCGGTCAGTCATCGCGCTCTTTGAAAGGCAATGGCGATAGTTACCAACGAGAGTCAAGTTTACGCGAAAGTTCCGCGTCGGCGAGTTTATAAAGTCCACCCTACACCTGAACATCCCCTGGTCCTTGAACGTCACCCTGGTGACTTTCAGCTTCGCCCGGTGACCGTCGCCGATCTGGAAGTACGTCCGTTTCCCGAGATCGTCGCTAACCGCCCAGTGAACGGCGGCAGTCAAGTTGCCATTTCTCGCGTCCAGGCTGTGGAGCAAAGAAATATCGATCATTTCAGACTAACCGTCTTCGTGTCTTTTAACCCTTTGAGGCATAGTGGTAAGTATACTTACCACCTATTTATTCTCACATTTTCATAAAATATTTCACATTTGAGAGATTCTTGTCGGATTTTTTGCGGTTTTTAGCTTCTTATACGATATGGGAACATACATGAAAGGTTGAAAAGTGTTTTGCATAAGTTGTCCATTTGTTATAAATAAACAAAGTGTGAAAAATACATATTTTTACGAAAATATCATTTTCCACGAACTATGAGTAAATTTTATGCTCAAAATCAAGATTGGGGGGTTTTCTGGGTCACTGATTATGAATCTAAGATCCAAATTCCAAAATTAATTTTCCAAGATGATGGATTCAAGATGGCGGATCATAGAATTTTTATTAAATTAGCTAAAATTGTACTCTGGTTAGTTTCTGAGGTCGCTGATTACGAATCTAAGGTCCACATTCTAAAATTCATTTTCCAAGATGGCGAATCATAAAATGTTTATATGATTAGCTGAAATTGCACTTTGGTTAGCTTTCAAGATCGCTGATTGCGAATCCGAACTCCAAAACTCATTGTCATCGAAATTATCGCAATTTTTCATATTTGTGGCTGCCATCTTGAATTGTGAAAATCTGACAACGGATTCGTCATCAGCGGCCCCAGAAACCCCCATATATAAATTTTCATGTGATTCGGATTTTCTGAAAAATGCCTCAAACGTGCCTCAAAGGGTTAAGAGACTGATTGTCTCGGCCAATGTCGCGTCGTGCAAGCTAAAAGCACCGATGTTACTGATTCCTTAACTCGACTTCGCCTGGTGACATAATCTGAGAATCGTCGGGTTCCACAGCTTTCCGAATCAGTTGCGAGCTGACGCATTCACTGCTGCGCAGATTTCTGCTGATCGTTTCGATCAACCTCGACTCAGTCATCAAAGAGTAGTATAAATATTTGTCGATTCGTTTCATTCGCTCTCTGTCAGCCGTATATTTAATTCCTTACACGCAGTTGACCGTTTTACACGTAAATCAGTGAGGCGCGGCGACACCAAAAGTACCATTCGCTGCTGGCCGCGCCGATGGCCAATGCATAAATCAAAAAATTCCAATTTAAGACCGTCAGAGGCGAAGGTGGAGCGCCTCTCGCTGGTGAATGTTTCGCGATGTACGGCACTTCCGTTAGCCGCGAAGCCGGTAAACATCGCGCGCTTTCGCCAATTGGCGACCCGCGCTGACTAAACTCGCGCGGACGCGCGCGCTATTCGCGGCCGGAAAAAGAGCATTTGGCAGAGTCGTCGCTTGCGGATTTAGATTCCCTTAGCCTTAGAGTACTGACCGTTACGCAACAGCGAGAGCAGGAAATCACGTCGGCGCGCGCGGCCGCGGGGAAACTGGCGACGGGAAAAAGAAGGGAGCATCAAAGCGCTCTGTTTACTGCTGAATTCGCCGCTGATGAGACTTACTTGCGTGATGCCTGACGATCGCCGCCAACTACGCCGTCAAAGTCGATTCGGAAGTGACGCCGGAGGACGGAAGGTTCTAATTTGCGCGACACGGTTCACGTGCCGTGAAATTGAACAGAGGCGTCCTCCGCGCGGTCAAACGAAAATATGGCGCTTCTTCGAAGACGCGAGAGGCGGCCGCTACGGGGAATTCACAAATGTGGAGTGTGAAAAGCGCGAAAGACGACACGAGAGCGAGGCCAAGAGTGTCGCCGAGCTACGTGGATGTAATGGGCGCGATTCCGATTTTTCGCTTGATCGTGCAAAGGGACGAAGCGTATCGACTTCCGCGATGGCTCAACTCCCGTCGGGACTGCAAGGATGGCAGGCTCGCACATGAGCGAAATTGTTATCTAACTTAGGGTTGTAACGAAAGTGGCTATAACGAAGGCGAAATGCGAATGCGAAAGCGAAAGATCTTGTTCCCTTCTACTGAATGATGCAAATGAGTAAATTAGTAACTTCCCAGACAACACAGTGTCCAAAATGTCGGGACATAAGACGCCTTTAAATCCTTTAACACCTACTGGTAACTATAATTACCAGAAATTTAAGCATCCATTTAAGAATCCACAACTTGGTTAAAAAAGGAGATATTTTCGTTTTCTTTGCATCACTGTAAAGGTGAATTCTTCTTCTAAAAAGTGGTATATAGATTGTATATATAGATTCGGTTTAGTCTGTTTTTAGCTCAGTTTTAATGATAACATATTTTGTCAAATTCCAAGTAGGCATAGTTGGCATTGTTACTGACATCTAGAAGTGCACTATAAATGAATAGATTGGTATCTGTTATAATTTTATACATTTGGAAGCTTTCTCAGATGCAAAATGTGAAATTAAAAGAATAAAGAAATTCAAAATGGCGAATCCAATATGGTGGACACGAAAATCAAGAAATCAACCTATTTTTGTGAAACCTGGTGATCTACAGTTTTTTATGCGGCAAAAAATGAAGGGACGTTTGACTATTTAAACGGTGATCTACAATATAAGATCACCGTTTAGATAGCGAAATAGTAAGCTTGACGCTCTGAATGATAAACTTCACTCACAAATATAATAAAGTTTCGGCTAAAAAATATCAAGCCGACTATCAGAGTTATGTCGTATAGATTACCTTTCATTTTTCTCTGTATAGGTTGCTTATTTCGTATATACTTTTACGATCCAAGTCATATTTACCAATAAACAAAAAACGAACGATAAAAAGAAACCAAACTAACGAAACCAACAAACGAAAAGCGGAAACTTCATGTACTCATTTATTCAGAAATAAACAATTGATGCTGATTTTCCATGTAATTGTTTCACGGTTCACCATCTGGATAACCATCTCTGAGTGTGTCCATGTTTACCGTTATATTTACAAAAAAGAAATACAAATTTATTCATTCAGAAGTAGACTATTACTTTACATTTTACTTTACATTAATTTACATTGGAAAGGTAGTTTTTCGTAGATATAAAATTCTGGTACTTTTTTTTGGTTATCACTACTTATAGTCTCAGTTCAAAAAAACTCAAATTTTATTCTTAAAACACTTATAAAAAAAGTCGGGTGTTAAAGAGTTAAGACGTCTTTAAGTCATCTTTAAAAACGTTTTATACTATGACTCTTAAATTCCATTTCCACTTCATCATAAAAATACCAAATAAAACTGAAATTTGGTTTTATTGTTATTGTTATCACTTATCGCTTATCACACTTAATTATTTAATTATTATAATTTATATCACACAGAAGTTTACTTGCACTCATTTGTTTTCAATAAACACGTTTAAGCTCTAAAGTCTAAAGTGTCTCTAGACCGGCAAATCAATGAATGAAACATAAACTGCACTCCCCCGCCATCCAGTGTGTCTCCAGCGAAGCTGCAAAATCCTGCGGACTAAATAAAATCTTTCGCTAAAACTTTCGCATAATTAATTGCGATAGCAAAAGCGAAAGTGAGAGTCTAAAATGATGCGAAAGTCTCGCTTCCGTATATGCGAAAGCGAATATTCGTTACAACCCTAATCTAAATCTTCCGGAGTGAATCCCGCTCGAAACGAGCAAGATTTCGCTCTGCACGATAGTGCCAATATCACGATTGCAGCGAATATTTTGGGCAATTAACCATTTCACTGCTGAATTAATTTCCCTTGAGAAAATTATTAAAATATTTGGTAGTCCTACATTTTTTAGGTCGCTAATTACGAATCTAAAGTCAGATTTGCAAAATTCAACATGGCGGACTCAATCTGGCGATCATGATGTACAAAATTAATGAAAATTCCAATTATTATTAATGGTGTATGGGTTTTTCGGATCGTTGATTACGAATCTTTTGAGTAAAATAATATTGATAGTACGGATAAGATGGAGATACAGAATGCAAAAACTAGGAAAACAGAGTTAAAAAATGCAAAAAAATAAAATTTCAGCCGTTTTTTGTAGAAATATTTGTTTATAAAAAAAAATCTAACCTGCAAAAGAATACTGAAAAAAAATATATGTTTCTGTACAACATCAGAAAAATATTTGGTGAAAATTTCAGACCTCTACATTCAATACTCTCCGAGCAATCGATTTTTCCCTAAAAAAAGCATTTTTTTCCAACTTTGATTTATTATAAATAATCACAAATGAATAACTGGGTATAAACCCCTATTGGAGTATATTGAACAACTATTCGGTTATCTGGAAAACTCAAATCTCCGATTAATTCTTCAAAATTATGTCATTTACAACGCAAAATTGAATCAAGAAAAGGCGGGAAGTATACTTCCCACTAACAGTGAAAGGGTTAAGATGAATTTGCTCCGGTGGCAGTGCACGTGAAAAATATCTCGATCTGTGCGGTTGAATAGGGGTCGGAGGAAAATTCGAACCGGAAATCTTCGTCGAAGCATGCGGCTGTAGTGGAATGGTTTCATAGCGAACGTTTCTCTTCCCATACAATCGAGCTTTTCATCTGGTTTCTATCTATTCTCCCCAGACAACGGGAAATTCAGTTACACCGAACCGACGAAATTGTTTTTTCCGTATGGGCTACGTCGGACTCATTCTCTTCGAGTTGGAAATGAAAACAATCGACGATTCAGAGGAGAGAAGTCGCCCGGTATGAGCAAAAAGTCACTCGAATTCGAGTTGGTGGGCCGTCGCTTTCGTCCGTTCCCGGAGTAAAATTTCGTTGGAGGGAATTTAAGGAACGCACGAGAGAGGAGGGAAGGGACATGAGAGAGAAGGGGATCTCCGTGTGATAAAAATTCCTTGGGACGAGTGATCTTCGCGCGACGCTATTTATTTTTCATAGAAACGTGTAAACGCGAGAGGACGGTGGGGAGCGTCTTGTTTTACGATCTTAGAGATCATTTTCGTAAATAAGCGACGCCTCGCGCACGCGCGCGCGCGCGCGCGCTCTGTTTAACTGCCGTGTCAGCCGGAAAGAATCCTCGATCGACTGCTATTCCTGAAGCCCGGACGGTGTTATGAAATTCCATCACCTACGCTTCCGATGGTGGAAATTCGGTCGAATTATTTATACAATCCTGATCTAGCCTAACTTGAATTTCCTACGGGCGTACACACGAGCCAATGCGCGGCACGTACATTTCGATGCGGTTGGCGCGTCGCGTTCGTGCGATCGGCGTATGTTCGGATAAATTTGCAATGACTGGCACTTTCCAGAACTCGCGCGTTAAAGTCAAGCGCGGACAGTTCGACGTGGAATTTCACGCGGGAAGCAGACTGCCTGTGCCGTTTTCTCGCGCGCGACAAACATTAGAGGCAAACCTAGAGACAAACCGACATTCAGGGTGTGATACGCTTTTTGCAAATGCAAAACAAAGACGCGTCGAACTCAATCGGTCGGAATGAATTATCGTGACGCGTGAACGGACACATCGGTCGTTAACAAGCTCGCGGTATTTATACGTCGCGAGCAGGGCGCGACGAAGGTGTCCATAATAAGAGTTCACGCGCGTGAGCCCGGCCCGTGGCCAGGATATTTCGAGATGCGACTTCAGAACAATGGCATCCCATCCCCCGATAAACTCATGACCCGGCCAGCATCCGGCAGGCCCGACTTTCGGCAGAGAGTCTGCCGTGTGAATCACTTTCTCCCGCGGGATGTTCCCAGAAAGCAGGAAGTCGTCGGCGGGAAGGGCTTTTTTCAGGCTCAAAGGGCGCCCACGCTCCAGTGAGAAGTAAAATTCTACCCCCTTGGGACGAAAAGAAGCGATTCTCATACTGAACCAACGACAACGTTTAATATTAGGTTATTGAATATAAAATGTCCGATTTCTTTAAGTACCCCTAAGTTTGACAGTCGATATCTCTGACATTTCACCTTTACAGTTCTTGGGTTTTTTTTTTCTTGTGAAGGTACGTCATCATCACTCTTTCAAACGCATGTTTTGGTTTGTGATTGTCTCTTTCGAATTGTCTTTGTTACAGCAACCTTTGTATAACCGTGGATAAGCTAAAAATTCGTGTTATTTTCGAATATGAATTCTGTCGTGGAACCAATGCAGCGCAGACAACTCGAAACATCAACGAAGTGTTTGATGAAGATGTGGCTAATAAACACACAGTACGTCGATGATTTGAGAAGTTTCGTTCTGGCGATTTTAATCTTGAAAATGAGCGCCACGTTGGCGACCCGAGACCAACGTGGATAATAATAAGTTGAAAGCTGTAGTGGAAGCGGATATACGTATTTCAAAGTACGCGTGAATTAGCAGCAAGAGAAGAAGGTTGTTATTCCAACAATATTGGATCACTTGAAACAAATTGGTAAGGTAAAGAAGTTGGATAGATGGGTTCCGCATGAATTAAAACGAGTGTTAGAAGAGAAATCGTCTCGAAACTTGTTTACTATCACGGCACAAAGGCGAATCGCTTTTACATCATATTATTACGTGTGATGAAAAATGGATTCTTTTCGACAATCGCACGCGTTCGGCACAATGGTTGAATATAGATGAGATGCCGAAACATAGTCCGAAACCGAATATTCGCAAAAGAAAGCTAATGGTATCTGTATGGTGGTCCAGCGCTGGTATTGTCCACTATAGCTTCATGAAACCTGGTCAATCGATTACAGTGGATGTCTACTGTAAGCAATTGGGCGAAACGATGAGAATGCTTGCGATTAAGCAGTAAGTCGAGATTGGTCAATAAAGACAGGCGAATTCTCTTGTAAGACAACGCTCGACCACATGTCGCACGAACAACGTTGCTCAAACTACAGCAGCTGGACTTGGAAACTCTCCATCAGCCACCATATTCACCAGACCTTGCACCAACTGACTACCACTTCTTCCAGGCACTGGACCACTTCTCGCAAGGAAAAATATTCAATTTTCAACAGAAGATGTGGACAACGCCTTCCGCGATTTCATCGTCACTCGCTCTTCAGGCTGCTTCGCTGCTGGCATGAATAAGCTACCGTCAAGATGGTAGAACTGTGTCGATAGTTTCGGCGTATACTTTGATTAATTTTACTATCTCTGGCTTGAGATATGATAAACCAAACTTTGGATTCCTAAATCGAACATTTCACACTTAATGACCTAATACTTGGGAGAGTGACGATATTCCCGCGCAACTCCCCCCCTCGAGAATTTGTTTACGACACCTTTGACACAGAATCGAGCTCTGTCGCTGGTCACTTTTAGCTAACGACACGTTTCCGCGTAATTCCTCGGGAATTTACCCGCGACTTCTCCCACAAAGATAAAATCGGATACAGCTTGCAGAGTCGTTGTCGCCTCGGAATAGCTAATGAAATCAGCTCGTCAGGCTCGTCGGGATTACTCGGAAGTGCGAGACTCACCTGTAGAGCGGTATGCCGACTTCGTCCTTGAACCAGAGCACCATGTTGACCGAGTCCGAGGGTGTCGGCGGTGTGATGTCGCATGGCAGCTCCACATTCTCACCCTCGGCTGCCCAGACCAATCTCACGGGTACTGAGGAAGAAGAAAAATCGATTCGGTCACGACAGAATCGGCCGTAATTCAACGTGACTCGCGTATCCGAGCGCGCGACTCAAGCTCGAACCCGCCGCGTCGTGATGAGAAGCCACATCGCTACAGAAAATAGAAACGATATATCGCGAGCCGGCCGGCCGGCCGACACGCACGCAAGCAAACGTCGTAGTCGTCCTCCTCTCCCTCTCCCTCCTCCTCCTCCTCCTCCTCGTTGTCGCACGTGCGTGCGACGCGCTGTTAATGCACATCGCGGTATGCCATTGATAACTCGCGCTCTATTCATTGTAAGCTCGCAGACACCGAAACACCTCGACATCGCGCCTGTCGTCGCGCGCGTCCTTTTGTCCACCCTTTTCCCCCTTCCTTTTTTCCAATTTTTCTACAATTCAACACATGGTCTGTGTATGTGTGTGAATGCCGTGACTACCACCGGTGACGGTGACGGTGACAACCACGCCGCCGCGCGATCTTACCGCGTCTCGTTGAATTACGTACGAGGTATAATTAATTTCGTCCGACAAGTTGGCAGAAAGTCGATTGCACGGCCAAGAAGAAAAGTTTTATTCGAACAAAACGAAACGAAACGAAAGATACGTTCGTGTCGAATCGCGTCTCTCAGTATACTTTTCTCGCTAATTCAATCGTCAGTCGAGCCATCGTACGACCAACGGGAAGCGATCGGATCGGATTCAATCGACGAAGTGATCTCTCGGAAGTAACAGCAGCTCATTCGCTGCGAATCCGTGTCTGAATGCGCTTCTCCTACGCGCAACAACATCGCACGTGGCCTCGCGTGCATAACGACGACAGGAGCACTCGCGAGAAACCGCTTCATTAGTACGCCGCTACATGTTTCATCGCCCTCGACGAGCCTTTAAGAACCCGACGACCCGAGGATCGCGCGACTAACCGCCCTGTCGAGTTTTATGCTGCTCGTTGGACGCTATAATTTTCGTACAGCAGCGCGCGCGACACGCCTGTGCACCTGTTGAAGCGGCCGACGAGAAATTTCAGGGTGAAACTTTAACTGCCTGGTGCGCGCGTGAAGCTTCAACTGCAATATTTATAACCGATTTCATCGGGAAATCGGCTAAACACTAAATATAGATAAAGAAGAAACGGCTAAAGGCCAGAGATGTGCGAATCAAGAATTTTTATGTCGAATCGAATCGAATCGAATCTCATTTTTTAAATTCGAATTCGAATCGAATCGAATTATTAAAAAATTCAACATGACTACTAAGCATGCAAATAATGATGGAAGATTTTAATACAAAAGGAAATATTGATATTGTAATATCATCTTAAAGTAAAATATATATTTAAATATTTAAAGTCATTTATAATTAAGTTATTAATTATAAGTTAAGTTAATTACAAATTAAGGGTTCAAACAGGTTTAGCTGGCCCGTTTTGTAGCTGATGCACGCAAACGATAATGTATTTGATTCCTACTCGAATTATTCGAATTCGAATCATAGGGATTCGGATTCGAATCGAATCCGAATTACATTAGATTCGATTCCAATTCGAATCCAGTTCGTTCTAACTTCATCATCTCTAATCGATATATCGACTACGACACAATATCGACCAAATTTGTCGTCACTGTAATGTTAATATCGACAAAGAATTCAGACTTTATTCGGTCGAACGGCGACCGAATTCATCTGATAAAGATTCATCTGACACGTCATAACACGCGGCATCCATTCCGCGACACTTCCGCGCGATTTTTTGCCTCGTCCTCAAAGTACAATTATCCTCGCCTCGCCCTCTTGCCTATCCCTGCTGCCTCGAGGTATTAAATCGAGGATCGAGCTGCTCAAGTTTTAATTCGTTATCACGCAATACTCGCGTGTTCCCTCCTTCTACCCTCCTCGAGGCGCAAGTGTGCATTTCTTTCATTACGCGCTGAGACAAAAAGGATGTATAGGAGCGCGCGCGGTTAAAGAGAACGGACCTGTTGTTGATGCTGCGCTATAAATAGTTCGTTGCCACTGCCGATCCGCACCTATCTTCTGAGAAGTGAGAAAAAATCGAGTACGGAGTTCACGGACTCCTAAGTGGATCGCAGCGCGGCCTGTGCTCCTCCGTGTTTTCTTACGCGACGAATAGAGGCGATCTTTCAGGGAAGTCGATCTCATGGCGTCAAAAAAAGCTCGTGTACGCGCGCGTCGCTCGTGTTCGTGCAGTTATGTAAATAATAGGCCCATCGAGAGAGGGAGGGAGAGAGAGAGAGAGGGAGAGAGAGAGAGAGAGAGAGAGAGAGAAAGGGCACCCCCGCTATTTTTGTATCGCGCGCTCGTTGGGAAACCGTGCTTCCGGCGACTCGTCTATTTCCGTGCCGGGCCACGGCTTGGCCTCTTTCCCTGCCTTTCCTTTCACTCGCGCGATCGCGCATCCATTCGCAAAGTCGAATTCGCGGTCACGACGCCTCGCGCGCTCCGTGGCGAGAGAAGAGCGCGCGCGTCGAGGATTTCGGCCGGGCGGCGTCGGGAGAAATGCCGAGGAAAAGGAACGTCGCTTGCTCGGGGAATCCGGCGATCGACACGTGCTCATAGGAAAATGATTAACGACCGATAATGCTAGTAGCGAGCGCCCCGAGAGGTTGATCGAGCGGAAGGAGGTCTCCCGAGAAGCGCTCGTTTCGGTCGTCGAGATCCCTGCGTTTGAGCAATAGGCGATATTTCATCTCCGTCGATGGCCGATGATTAGTTACGAAGCTACGCGGCCGCGCGCCTAAATTATTCGAATCTATTTCGAAATAACGAGCCGCACGCAACCCGACGATTATGTCGATCCCCGGCTCGACCGCCTTCTGTTCTCTCCGACCTCCCTGCGCGTCGGCGTCGCCCGCCTGCCAGGGTCAAGGGGATGAAAAGGGACAAGCGGTAGACCTCTGGTGAATTTGTTTGACAATTCCAGCGGGTCGCTCTGATCGCTCCGTGACCTCATGATTCCAATATTTATCGGGCTTCATCCTGTTTTCCTCCTCGCTCGCTCGAACCGACGCTCGACGGTAATTATTATTGCGATGACTGTTATGCCACTTATTATTATTATAATTATTATTATTGTGCGATTTAACTATAATTGTCGTTATTGTTGCTATTGCTTGTCCGGGCTCGTCCAGTCGATTCGTGTCTATTCGTCTATTCGTCTATTCGTTTATTCGTTACAGTGGATTACTCGGTGATTCGCGCGTCGCGCGAACACCGCGAGCCAATTATTTCGATAATTGATCGATCGATGAATAACGGATTCAAGCTTCGACTATTTCAACGGTCGCAATGCACGGCCCAAAACGCGCGTCCCTTGTCGATCTCGGCCTCTGTATAATTTTCATACATATAGTTAATCATATGTTTGTCCGTAACGGATTGGCACACGTGTCACGCGCAACAAGGTACGCAAAGGTTCGGCTTCGGGATTAGCGTTCGCGGCGCGGTTGAACAAATGTCAAAATGAGCTCCAATTAATTACAGCCGGAATTTCATTTGACGAATCGACGATTATCCGAGGCAGTAGAGAAAGACTGCGCGGCCATTAAACGAGAATTTGTCTCACATAACATTTGCGAAATGCAATCTGTGAATATTGATTGCGTTAATTACTCCCTCTTTCTCTCTCTCTCTCTCTCTCTCTCTCTCTCTCTCTCTCTCTCTCTCTCTCTCTGGCCTTAGCGAAAATAACAAAGTTGCGAACGTTGCGCGAATGACGGACGCTTCTCGAGACGATACGAACGAATCGCTGTTCTCGCTCGACGAGGAGTTTTGCATTATTTTTACCTTGCGTTTTATTATTGTTGACGTTATCGTGCCGCGCGATGCACGCACGAGCCGAAATTGATCGGAAAAGGATGCGGCCGGCGCGTTGAGAAAACTTAATCCACGATCAACACCGCGAGACACCGCGAGACACCGCGTGCGAAATTAAAACACCACTAATTCCCGCCTCTCGGCCAGATTGAAGAGAGTCGACGTTATTTTGCCACGAATTATATATTTTCCGCGGTACGGAATTTTTTAATATTTTCTCGCGCGTGAAGAGCTAAGTAAAAAGCTCCCTCGGCGCGGAGACTTTTTTCAAACGGACGTTACTTAGGAATATACTGCGAACCGTCGTTTTTATATAAGGATCGCAGGCATTATGCATATCTTATGGACAAAATGTAAATTCCGCTTTGCATCAGAAGATTAATGTACGCGATACCGGCGTATCGCCGGGGGAGTCGTGTGCGAGACGCGGGCGCGCGCGCGAGGGTGAGCTTCCAAACGCGAAAAGCGCCGCCGCTGCACTGGTTTATGTGTTTTCATTTCGCAGAAAGTGTTGCTTTCGCAACCGGCCGTTCTGCATGACTTTTACTGTTAGACAAACATGTAAAGGCTCTCCGCGCGATATCTATACACGGGCGATGATAAACGGCCGGACCGTTATCGTCCTTTATGCTCGCCGTGTCGTGCCCTCGGCCGGCCGTCGCGGCGACGATCAAACGATCGATTGTAAGACTCGTCGATTGTGCACCGGAGAGAGCCGGATTGCTAAACTATTTGCAATTCCGCGCGGAAACGCGACTTTCCGACTCGATTGCAATTTCGTCCGTGTTTTTCGACCATTACGGGTCGCTTTCGGTCTGCCGAGAGAGAGAGAGAGAGGGAGAGAGAGAGAGAACACGCTGAAAGACGAAGTGAACGGTAGCAGCCTCCTCCAATCACGTTCGTAAGATCTCCGCGGCGCCCGATTCCCGATCGGAATTGATTTTTCCATTTGTCCGCTCGCTCGCACTCTGCCGAAATCTTTACGACCGTCTCGAACAATAGTGTAACTTTTGCAATATATCTGTCCATGAAAAACAAGATGGTATCCAAAAACCTATATACCTATAATTATCTCACTTGTTCGCAATTGCAGCCACAGATTAAAATTATAATTATAATCAATTAATTATTCGATAAAACATAATATCAATAAAATTGCGCGTTTCATCTGTAATACACGCACACACAATTAATACGAATACCTTATAATACGAAATACAAAATATTATATATATCTTTATTAATTAATTAATGTACGCGATACGCCGGGGGGATTAAGTATTAATATAAATGTTTACATAATATAATGACATATTTTTATTGTATATGTTAATGTTAATATTATGTGATAATTAATTGCAATTATGGTCAAAAGCGGACATTTATTTCTACCTTGCAAACGCAAGGTAGAAAATCGACGGAAAACTCTGAAAATGGACAAATGTCGAACCGACATCCGTCTCTATTATATGTGAAAACTGAGGCTTGTCAGAATGACAGGAGGGCAGAGGGCGAAGGGCCAAAGATGCGGAGATATTTTCCCGGGCTGAAAATAAATCGCGCGAATTCTTTCGTCGCGAACTCCGACTAGCTAGCGTCCGAGTTCCCGCGCTCGCTCGCCCGCCCGCTTTCTCTCCCGCGAGTATCCGAGGGACCGTCGACGAAAATACCCACTCGCCGATTCGCGCTTATGGCGCTTCCTATTTTCGATCGAGCGTTTCGCACGTGGCGGGATTGTTCCCCCGCGCTGTTTGCTACACCTCGCGCGACTTCTTTACCTTCGAGCGCGTAGTCGCATTATGCGACCGCCCTAACGTTGTCCTAACGCGTTGCGTTTTCGTACTTTTCCGTGTCCCACGTATCCGCGTCCAATCGGACCGTTACATTACGCCGACTTACTTGCGACTTAATTGAAGGTAATTAGTGGCCGAGAAAAATAGCCAGAGCGGACGAGGATCGCGTCGCCGGCCGGTCGTCCCGCGACAACGCTGCGGAAAACGCTGCGGTTTCATTCCGTTCGTTACCGTCTTTCACAGCTGAAACGTCCCACCGAATTTTGCATTGTACTCTGTTGGTTGTTTTAGGTTTTGGTCGTTTCGGTTGTTTCCTCCTCATTTTTTATCCCGACGCGTCGTCTCCGCAATTTTCCGCGGCGCGGCGTTGGCGTCCAGATGAATGAATGATAATTATAACAGAGTAATTATCGCTAAACGCGAAATCGCTAAACTGCTCCGACGCGTCGGCGAACGTGTCGACGGTGTCGTCGAAATGAACTCGGCGACGTCCGCTTCAGCAGCTGTTTCCATCTTGGCAGATTATTGCGCTTCCCACAGGCTGGGAATGAGCGCGGATTCTTCGGCAGTAGAATGAATAAAATGTTCGCGCATGTGTTCGTGAGTATGTGCGATGTGTTTTTTATGCGATAAGCGACGCAGCGATTTATCTGCTTCCTCCGCCGTATAGATTGAGATATTGCTGCGTTGCGGAAAAACGCAAGCAGGAAGTGACGCGCGCATCTCACGTGACACCGCTCGTAATGCGCTCCTACAGACTGAAGCGCACACAAGCGTGTCCTCTGATTGAATTTTACGAACGCTAAAATGTCAGCGGAGGCCGCATGCGGGTCTGCGGGTTTATTTCAATCCTTCCGGTTGATGTCGCCGGTCGGGAAATATTGAGGCACCTTAGTAAGTTACGTAAGAGAACGCGCAATCTAGGGAGACGCGATCTCTCGTTAGGTCTCTCGTTAGTTAGACGCGTAATGTCGAAAGGGAAGACGGGAAGAAGTCGTCGACGAACTGCGATCGAATGAGATCAATGAGAGACGTCCGATCGGACGGCTGCTTAGTCACCGTACCGCGCTGACCGATCAATCGCCCGACGCTAATTATGATTGAGATTAATACACAACCACGCGACACTCCGCGCAGCTGCGTTGCGAAGTTAAATACGCCTGTAACAAACATGGCCAAATATAAGCTTGGAGAGCGCGTTGAACTTGAAGCGAACGCCGCGCGCGTTAATGCTTCGCCGCTGATGGGTCTGACCTGCTAATTAGATGTCAATCTTCCGACAGCCTCGGGTTGCGGAAAATACACACAGACACAGACGCACACAGGAATGCTGGAATACACAGTCGGGTGAAGAAGGATGGCGACACCCTTCGTTTCGATGAGCCTTCGCGACGCGTCCAGCGAGAGAATGTGAGTTTTCATTTTCTTTCTCATAATTCTCGGACGAGGAAATTTTCGCTACTAGATACCGGATGCGTTTCGCGGTTCTCTGAGGTCAAACTGTCGCAAGCTTCCTTCCGCCGACTACCGGTCGCCGGCTAACTTCGACCGACAATTATCTCATGCTCGCGCGCGTGCATCTCGAATCGATCTCTTCGTGGCGAACAAATCCCTCGTCTTTTTCATTTTCGCTGGCACAGCGGTCGAGGATGATGCGCCACGCGGGGTGTTGGTGTTTTAGAATGAATCCTGTCGTTCACAAGGGAACATAGGGAACACGGAAATTCAAGAACATTCTGAAACTTTATATGGAAATAAATTAGTTCATCCGTAATGCAAAACGATTTTTTGTGCGTGCAGAATTCCAGCCTGGGGGGGGGGGGGAGAGGTGAAACCACCCTTTGAAAGAAAAAGAACCATTTTCATTTTTAACGTATATTTTTTAAGATACGAAGCATATACAAAATTAGGTTTAGGATAGGATATGAAACAACGTATGAATGCTAAAGAACATAAAATCCATTTTAATTATGAGGAAACTAGATGCAATAAAGTAAGAGAAGTTACCGTCTCCGAAATCGCAAAAATAGCGCAAACCGTAAGCAGACCTGTCATCATACATCATCCATCATCCAAGTTACAAAGGTTAATTAACATGTACATCAAGAACTAAAGATTACGCTGACAATTGGATTTTCGTATCGTCTTGGGAGAGATATAGATAGAATCATTGGATGTGTAATATTTTAGCTTTAAATTACATACAAATTTTATTAAACCCGTTTTTAACACTATTATATTATGCAAGATGATACATCTTGCAATTCATCTCCAAACTAAAAATAATATGAACTGCAATTATAATTATTTCTCGTCGCTCAGCTTTCAAAATTTATTTAAATATACGTGGTTTAAAAATGAATAAGCGTACCGAGAAAATCGACAGAGTTTCGCACACTGCTTGAATTTTGTTTCGAAAGCTATTCGTACGTAACATAAAGTGAAGAAAATAAAGTACACACATGTTATTATATGCAATATGTTGCAATGTCATTAGAATTAAGTTCTTATCATTTTGCAGTATGGGAAAATATCAACTCGATGACAAGATGCATTATCGATCGAGTGGAATTCAAAAGCGACTACCTTTTTGCCCTAAGAACAACTTAAAAATTTATTAAAGTAAGGGGAAGGGAGGAGGGGGTTTCAAAAATTTTTTTCAATTTTGCAAAATCTGAATACACAGTTGCAAAGAGTATGAAATACACTACAACTTTCATATAAATCATTTTTGCATATGCTTCGTATTTTACATATACAATGGTGGAGAAATGAAAATGGTTCTTCTTTTCGAAGGGGGTGATTCACCCCCTCAGATTGGAATTCCGCACGAACAAAAAATAATTTTGCCTTACGGATGAACCGCTTTACTTCTACACAGTTTCAGAATCTTTTGAATTTCCGAGTTCCTTATGCTCCCTTTTTCAGAAGCCGATGAAGCAGTAAGGACTTTGCCCCATCTAGAAGAACAAGCTAATATAACAACCTGCTAATATAAGAAAAAACCCTGCAAGCGGGATTCTCAAGTCGACTAACCAGGACTCCGAGCAGCAAACTCGAGAGTCCTGGTTACATCTGCTCGTGGTAAAATCACCAGAGATGCGTTCCATCTTGTCTGAGTCGAACCTAAAGCAATAGCCCGACTGCTTCTTCGGCTAAACTTTGCGTCTTACGTTGACGGTTACTAGAGTCACGGTAATTAGAGTCTCTCCACGAGCACCCTTAACGATGTTAACAAACAAGAACGCGCATAAAGACGCCGCTCGCAGACAACGAGCGTCGAGAGCTTTTGGGCACCTTCGCTTCGGTCGCCTGCTCGCGCACGACAAAGACCTTCGTCGTGTGCCCGCAAGCAGGCAGCGTTCGCGAGGTTCTGAGGAACCGCTGAGGAACCGCGCTCTGTGGAGGAACTCCTCCGGTACCTTTGTTCTGATATTCCGACGTCGGCTCCTCCGCGGCTGCGCTCGTCCGCTGAGTCCTCAGCAGCATCAGCAGACTCGTGAGCAGCGCGTAGCCCGACGCGCAGTGCATCTCGACACCCCCGTCGTTTGTATCGAGAATAGACGCTCACGTATCGCCCTGGCCGTGCGCAACACGTCGAATCCGCTCCGCCGGCGCGGGCAGCAGCATTCGACCTCGACCTGCAAGCTGCGAAGGCTGCGAAGGCTGGCCCTCGGATTAGCGTGATGCGCCGCGATTCACGGACGGTCCTTCCAACGAAGTCGTAGGTTCCAACCCCGGGGCGACTTTGGCAGCGCGACTTTCTCGATGACGACGGACCGCGACCACTTGAACGATCCGGAGGAACGAGGCATTCTCGATCCGCTTGTTCGTTGGCAGCGTTCCTCGCGTAACGTCGCTCAGCCGATCTCTGCGCGCACTTGCGTGTGTGTGTGTGTGTGTGTGTATGTGTATGTGTGTCAACCCATATTCCTAATTAACGAGACGTGTAATAGTTTTGCGCTCACGGTTTTCGTGCTCACTGCGCGATCACTGTGTGTGATCTCCCGTAGCGGTATTCTCTCAGCGAGCTTCTCACGAAGACGACTCTCCCCCCGACTGAAGAACTATCTGTGTGAGCGAGAGGGAGAGAGAGTGACGGAGGGGAAGGAGAATTCTCTGTGCGCTGTAGCTTTTACTATTCCACAGCCGCGCGAACGCGATAATTGGAACTAAACCGACGTATCCGTTTCTCGTGTTTTCCACGTTTGCACGTTCAACTTGTAAATGTTTAATCACCGCGGGGAAATATCGTCCGCCTTCCTTATTGGAATTCTCGGTCTCCGACCGGCCGCGTATTTACATTCAACGACGGCTCCGCGGGATATTCATTGCTTCTTCGCCGTTCTCCTCGTCGGGAGTGAAGAAAGACCCCGCTTGCTCGCTCCTTATCGTCCTATTCAGCCGGGATTCCTCGCGAAAAGTACAGTCGCCGGCGAATTCGCGCTCGACAGGGTCCTCCGCCGAGTCCTTTCACGGCCCCTTCCCCCTTAGCCCTTCCCCGCGCGTTATTAAGCCGCGCACGTCGCCTTCAAATCCCTTTGATTAACAAAACCAGCCGACGTTTTTCTCACTTCCTTTGTGCCGCCCCCCTCTCCCCCCGCCCCGCCCCGCGGTCTTTCCGCACTTTCTCTTTCTCTTCCCCTCGCGACTTGCACTTGGTCGAAACTTTCTCCGGCTTTCGACTCCTCTGGTCGTCGTCCTCTTCGTCCGCTTCGGCTTCTCCCTCCGGAGCGTTCGCCTCCTCCTCCTCCTCCTCCTCCTTCGCCACCCTTCCGAGGAATTTCGACTTTGATCCTGCGTCTCGCGCGTGCCTCTTGCGCGCCGCTTTTTGCCGCGGATTCCCTTGTTCGCCCGCTAATGTTATTCTTGCCAGGTGCCGCGCTTCTTTTCGCGCAACGCTCCGTTTAATTTGAAGACGCGGTCAAGTGCCACTGTCACTCTTGCCTCATCGCCTGTTCGTCGACGATGATGGTGATGGCGATGACGACGAAGCGTCCTTCTTCTTGAACAGCTTGCCCGATCGATGTCGCGAGATCGCTAGGTGTCGATTAATTCGATGAATCTTTCGTGAGAATCGACAATAAGTCGTCGATCGAGAAAACCCAAACGGAATCAATTAAATGTGAGATTCATACCAAAGAGGGAGACAAAGAGGAAGAGAGAGAGAGAGAGAGAGGCACCCTCAAAGTTCTCCAAGTTGCAGAGTTTGATTTTATATCACCAATACACTCCTTGAGCGAAGATCTGATTCGGCCTCGTCGAAGGGGGAATCGGGAAGCACCGTCGGTGCTCCGAGACGAATAAATCCTCAATCCCCCCCGGTGCAACCCTCGCGCGCGCGCACGTGCACACTCGTCTGTACAAACACACACACACACACACACATATACACCCACAATTGACGAGACACGCAGGCAGTCGCAAAGTCACTCGTACTTCCGCGCGACGTCGATTTAACAAATCGGGACGAGCGCCGGCAAGGAAGTGTCGTGAGTCGCGTGTCGCGTCCGCGAGATCGGGGTGCAGTTCGAGACTCCGGGCTCTCAGGATCGTCGTCGCGGTCGTCTTCGTCGTCGTCGTCGTCGTGACCGCGATGTCGTGATCGTGGTCGTCGTCGGCAGCGACTGCCACGAAACTAAAACCAAAACCGAAGACACGCGTTTAGTTCCCCCTACTCGCGCGCGCGCGCGCGCGCGCTCGCGCGGCCACCCTCGCCCTTCTCGCGCGCACCGCACGCACCGCGTGCAGGCACGCACGCACGCACTCACGCACTCCGGGCACACTCGTGAAACGCGGCCGCACACCCACACGCGCTCGCTCCGCGGCCGCGGCCGCGACGCGGGGCTTGTATGCGCGCACTGCGAGTGTGTGTGAATGCGCACACGCGCCTGTGCGCGCTGCGCGCCCCGCATAAGCAATACGTTTGCGCGTGTGTGCGTGCGCGGCTATGGGACGTGCGGTAACGCGGGGATAATGCTAAGTCGGTGTGTCTCCCGGTAATGTATGCGGCTGTTGCGGCAATGAGTAACACCTCCGACGCGGCTCGTCGACGATCGAGCGAAACACGTTTTCGCGCAGAAGTCGCGCCGCGTGAAACCGTTCTCCCAGTCCACCGTTACGACGTCGCGCATCTTTTCCTACGCGCATCTAGAGATGCCGATTTTAAGTCGATTTAATCGAAGATCGACTAATCGGAGCCTGAAGGATCGATTTCAAATCGATTTTCTGCAACTGAATCGATTCAAGGGTCGATCGGTCGAAATTCTGAAAATCGCCAACACGATTTTCTCAGTTTCTACTAGTAATATAGTTTTCTCTTTTTGATTCTTTTTAGTTGTGACATTTGAACTCACTGAATGGCTGCACGATGCACATTACGTCGCCTTTAGGCCGATGTCTCATGGGCGAAAATTTTCAGCGGAACGCGCGAACCAATCACAGCCACTCCATATAATAGTATATATTATATACATATGTATATGCATATAATAGTAAACGTGATTTCATATTTAATAACGTTTAAAAACCCTTGATTGATGTTTAATCAAACTAATTAAATCCTTAGCATAAAGCAAAGAAAGAGTAGCATCTGTTCAATTTTTTTAATTCGCATTAAACTTTATGTGAATTACACGAGGTCTACTTTAGAGTGTAGAAATTTGACAGATAGTGCGCTTTAATGAGTGGTTCACTTTACCGATACAAATGCATACCGATTCAAATCGATTTTCCGAAATCGATTCTTCACAAACCGATTTTTTAAAGATCGATTTTCTTTCTTCGTGATTCGAATCGATCTTTAAGTCGATCTGTTTGAAAAAAAATCGGCATCCTTAACGCCGATCCGAATGTCCGTGCATCGGCGCGGAATTACGCAGCTTCGCAGTGCCGCCGCGTATCGGGAAAGTCGCGGGGCGAGTCGCCGACGCATTTACCCCGGGGAGATTTATCGCGAGGGGAAGGCACGCAGAATGTTTCCTCCGAGTCATCGGTCGCCTTTCCTCCGACGTCCGTCGGAGAAACACTTTCGTTAAAATCGTAAGAACATCGCCAGCAAGAGAGGCCAGAGGACGCTCAAAGGCGCAGGAAGGTAATAAAAGCAGAGGAGCCCGAGCAGCCGAGTAAACTTCCCCTTGAACTTACCGGAAACCTTTTCATTAACACGTTAAGCGCTACGCCGGTCCCTGCGGACTTCCGACGCTGGACTTTTTATCTAGGCGGCCCAGGTCCTTGAGATCCAACGACATCAAATTTGGAAAATAATGCCTCATTATTTATTAGTGGGTTTTTATTAAAGTTCCTTTTTTATTAAAGTTTAAACAAAGATACGGTTTTGCCAGCAATATTTGGTCGGTTGCCTTTCGGGTCGAACCGCCGTAAATCTTGATAATCACCGCCATTATTGTTTGTATCTATGTTGTCTAACCAACTGTCGTCTTCAGACGACAGATCGCAATACTCGACGATGCCGATTTTTAGATGGCAAAAATAACCCACTCGATGTATTCTCACTTTTGGATTCTGTCAGCATTTTAAGTTTGATGGGCAACAAATACTTTTTTAAGATAATCGATAGATCGATATAGAACGTAACTTTACTGCGGTTTCTGTCTAACTGACGGTTCGTTGGTCGTCTCGGCGTTCTCCCACCCTGCATCTCATAATCTCTTGCTTATATATTTATTTATTATATTCTTTATTGTTTTTTTATCGTTAATTTATTACATCATATTTCGTTTACCATATATTCCCGTATATACCTTTCTATGTTCACGCGTCGTCTGAACGAGAAAGTCGAGCAAAATCTGCGTGGCGCTTAACGTGTCCAAGCCGAAAGGACGTCGCGGTAAGAAGAAGCTAAAGGACTGAAAGCTGAAACGTGCGGGAAAAGGACGCGATGGAAGGAGGAGAAATCTGCAGTCGAAGAGCCGGGGTCGCGAGGTGCGATTTCGCGCGTCTCTCGAGCGCGGCGAGTCCGACCAGCGGCGTGTATGCCAACCTACCCTGTAGCGAGATTCTGTAACTTGTTATGCAGTCGTTACAATAACGACACTATCGTTGCACAGGTTTAATACGTAGCGGAAAAAATGCGCAATATTATATAACGAACCGGAAACTGGCGTTATCAGCACATAACGAGTTACAGAATCCCGCTACTGGGGCTGCACTCCGTACTTGCGGTACCGATAGTTCTCGGTGTCGTTAGCAGTATTGCGCAACCTTTCTTGTTGTATGAAAAACTTTTGCGTAATGCCGCTAACGACACCGACAACTGTCGATATGCGAGTACGGAATACAGCCCCTGCTCGAGCCCTGCTCGATACGCACGTCGAATACCGTACGCTCGTTCACGCGTGCGGCCAGAGCGCACACACGCCGCTGCGCTCGTCTTCTCCATCCGATCTTTCCGCCCCGTAAAAGGGGACTTCGATGCCGAGTCCAGCTTGCCGGAGTAAACGCGCGGCGTTTCTGGCGCATCATCGTACAGACGATTACGTGGACGATGACGGGGAGGCGGGGGGAGGGAGGGAGGGGGGACAGTGCGGCTGGAAACGCTACAACAGTTTCGAGGGTGGGCTACCCCACCGGCGGGGGTTCCAGAGCAGGCTCAGGCGAGGGTCAGGAATGCCTGGCAGTGTCCTGAAAGGGCGGGTGTGTTCCGAGCCGCCGGCCGTTCGCGACGCGTTCCGTGCTGACGGATGCATCGAATTCTGCTTGTTTGTCCAGGAACAGCATTGTATGCCGGCCAGAGGCCACGATTTCCTGTCTGCCTGCCGCTTGTCGCCTTGTCTCTGTCTCGCCACCGCAGCGGTGGAAGAAGGTCCTACGCGGCGCGGGCCCGCTGTTTTTGCTCCTCGTGAGTGGAGCTCCGCCGGAAAACAAGATTCTCGAGCGGCCGAGCGCGGCTGCGCGCGCGCGCGTTCTTTAGAAGCACGCTTCTTGTTGATCACAAATACACTTACACTCTTTCGGCTCGAGTATAAATATCCTATAAATACACTTTTTCGACGACCCGGAGGAGACCGAGCGAGCGACCCAGGCAGAAGGGAAAATCATGATGACATCAGAATGACGTCAAAATGATGAGGAAAACTCATTTTTTCATTATGATTCAGTAATTTGATTCAGTGATGTTGATGTCATTTTGATGTCATCGTGATTTTCTGTTCCACCTGGGGAGCACCTCGCGCTCGCCATCGCCGTCAGCCTCTCGATGCTCACGTCTTTTGCTTAAAGCCCTTCGGCACGAAGGCTGATTTTAGGCTGCCCTGCCAAGCGTTCGCTGCCGTATCCGTTTCAGTGAAAATCGATTATTATGGAAAACGGATGTCCATGTAAATTTCAGCTGGCCAGCCCAGCCAGGCCAGCGAGGCTCCCAGCTATGACAGCGAATCCTTTTTCTCTCTTCCGTGCGTTGCCGCGCGCACGCGGATGATTCTGTTATCTTTAGCCCGTAGGAGCAGCGCTTTTCGGTCAGATCCTGCCGTGTTGAAAGGATGCAGGATTGAGAAGCGAAACTCCCGCTCTCGAGATCCAGCGCGCCTCAAGCGGCCGCGCTTGTCCCACAAACCGACGCGCTTCGCTCCCACACGTGACTGTTATTATTGCCGCCATTATTTTCCAGCGCTACCGCTGCCGAGCATCGTTAGTCACCGGCGCGCTTAGGCTCATTAGGCGAATTTGCTGGACGCGGCTCGCCTAAGTAGCTCGATCCGAGCGAATTTTCGCGCCGCCACCGCACAATGGAGCCAGATGACATTTTTTGGTTCAAAATTCTTTAGAGACTTGAATTTTCAACCGATCATCGACACCAATGGATGAGGTTGATCCTGAATAAATTCCGAACAGATCTGTCTTGCCAAAATTAAAAAAAAATTTTTTTTCTCGAATTACTAGCCCCAAAAGAGGAGAAATTATCGTTAAACGCGCGAAACTTGTGAAATACTCATTATTCGACACTTATTTCTATGTAATAGCGTATTCAGCGGATTGAAACTATGAAATCAATCAACAGACACCTCGAGATTGATCGATCTTGAAGCAGAAACCCATTAACCCAAAACTCATACGCTCGAAATGCAAAAACATCAAATATAGACCCGTTAAGCACAAAACCGAGAGATTTTAATCCTTAATTCTTTCTTAATGTGGGCTGAAATGATGAGCTTTGAAATTCTGAGTTTTCTAAAAGGTGATTATAAGTTCTGGAGTCTCGCATTTAGCATCCACAGGCTCGAACCCATTGAGGTCGAATCCAAGATACTGTACTTTAAACGATAAACTTTTAAGACGAACCCTAAACCCATGAACTCTGAGCCGATAATTTTTTCAAAATCTCGACTAGATAGACTAGACTCTTTGGAATTTATTCAGGATCAACCTCATCCATTGGTATCGATGATTGGAATCGATGGTTGGAAATTCAGGTCTCTAGAGAATTTTGAAGCAAAAACTGTCATCTGGCCGCACTGTGCGCCGTTCCGGCCAGAGTGCGTATAAACTTCCTATAAATAAAATGCACGCCGTCCGCTTCCGTTCGGGTGTCGTCGTCGTCGTCATCGTCGTCGTCGTGCGCGAAACAAGTAACAACTACGCGCTTTTACGACTCGCATAATTTTCCACCCTTGGCGCTTCGGCTCGCGAGCGGGCTCTCCTCTATTTCGGGATTCGCGAGTTGTTGTTGGCCTTCCCCCCCCCCCCGCTCGGGGATACCGCGTAGACAACCCTCCTCTCTTTTCGCCCGACCGGCGTGTACTCACCCGCGCAAATGCCCTCCGCCTAGCGCTCCGGACTTTTCGCCAACGAGGTCGCCTCGCCTCCGCAGCTTAATGTTCCGCAAGTAATTGCCCGGGAAAGCGTCGCGAATTGCGCGAACGCCGCCGGCGTGCAACGTGCCGTTGGTGAAACAATATTACACGGCGTCGCAGTCGGGAAGAAACATCGGAGGTGTCGAGGTTGCGATTGGAAAGAGAGAGAAACGCAGATGGAACAGGAGAAAGGAATAAAAGATAAATCTGAGTTTGACAAATGAATCTGTTATTAAGACGACGATACCGCTCGGAGGGAAACTCCCTTCATCGTCTTATTATTCGTGTAGATGGAAAAATTATCGATGACACATTAACGAGGCTACACACATATACAACGTCGATATATTTTCCCGACTCTCTCGCCCTCTTGTGATTCCTCTTCTTCAAATAAACTCCCGGAATAAAGAGGATAATTGTTGTAGAAAGGCAAACATTTGTGCGACGGTCGATGAACAAAGCGGCCGTTTCGTTATCGTGGCGGAGGAAACGCAGCAGGCGGTTAGTTCATCGGTAGTTTTAACGTTATTTTTCGCTGGCTCGCGGTTTATTTAGTCGAAACGAGCGAGCCTCTTTCTCCTCTCTCTCTCTCTCTCTCTCTCTCTCTCTCTCCATTCAGCTCCGTTGATTTGTTTACACGTAGATGAAGCGAACACGAACGGCATAGATAGCGCGCGCGTGCGCACACTCAGCACACTCCGGCTGGACTCTTGAAACTTTTATCGACCGATTCGTACATCCCACATCCACTCTTATCCATCTTAATAAATAATCACTCTCGTCAAGTGCGTGCTTCTCTCTCTCTCTCTCTCTCTCTCTCTCTCTCTGTCTCTCTCTCTCTCTCTCTCTCTCTCTGTCTCTCCCTCTCTCTCTTTTTCTTTTACTCGCGGTCGAATTCCTTCCCTTCCCCCCGCGCTCCCTCACGGTCGTGGATTCCGAGCATAACGCGGTTCCTCATTACCGTCGTAAAGGGGAGATCGAGGCGAGTTTACACAAGGAGCAGCTTGACGATATGCTCCCTTGATATATTTGTCGCGAGAAAAACAACGAATAAAATTTCTCAAAGTAAAATGTCAGGTGCGTTTCTCAGAGATACGTGAAAAAAATCGCAAGAACATTCCAATTAAAAAATAGGCAAGTCTAATTGAAGCTGCTTCCACAGAAGGAGCAGATCGTCTGATTCGTCTATTTACAAGAAAAACGGACGGAAGATGGGGGGAGCTCCCTTTTGGGATATCGTATATATTGAGACGCGTCGAAAAATCACAAGAATATCTCAAGTATTAGAACTTCTCTGAATTAGACTTCTCTTTCAAGAGTGTCCAATTAATCCTCGAGCGTCTCGAAATGTTCTCCTTATGGGGGATGACAGCGGATTGGCGCACATTTTACCCGAATTTCTGAACTTTCCAGTACCGGTTGCAGTAACAACCGATTGTTACAACTGATCATGCAAAGATGGCAGAAACAATCTGCGTTCCCACATCGGGCACGAGTCTGCGGGAAAATTCCTGTTATTTTTTCTGCGACGACTGGAATACCGACACGAGCATGAACCCGACTAGAAATTTATCCCATGGTCCTGATCAGGTTAACCTCATTTAGACATCAAGTCCCAATAAGGTAATACTATCGGGTCCTAATAAGTCATGTAACGCAGCGTGGATATCAGAACCTTAGTAAGGTTCATAGTCAGGTCCTTGTTGAGTTACCTTATGAGAATCCTTATTACGTTTTTGTTTTTCAAATTATGGCTCCTGATTACTCGCCACGGCTATATTGGATGATGACATTGGAAATAAAAAATGACGCGCTGAAAATTCTTTCATGTCATTTCTAAATAAAAAGATATTTGCATAAAATAATATTTTAGATCGCTTGAGCATACTCGTAAAATGTTTCGTCACGACCAATAAATTATCGTAAACCATAAACACGCACTAAAATGCGCAACATGCACGCACAGAGTAGGCGACTGAACTGCTTCTCGAGTGTCTTTTGTCTTATAGGCCCATATATGGACAAATGAGACAAACGATAAAAATTAAACTGTCTCTAATTATATGACGCATTATAAAAATATTTTTTTATACTACCAGTACTATTAAAGTTTTACACATACACACACACGCGCGCACACACACATCCACACATGCGCGCGTGCACATACACACACACATATCCATATTATATACATATAAAATTAATTACAAATGGTTTTTGTTAAAACTTGATAATGCAAATCATATTAGGTACAATGAATAAGATCTCGATAAGGACCCGATCAACTGAACCATATTATATCATACATTAGGTTGGTATATTAAGATCCTAATGTGGACTCAATCATTATAACCTTATAAAGGTCTTCCTTACTCATTTGTCGTTAGGACATTATAAGGACTGACTTACTTAGGATTACCTTTCATTCACCCTATTAGGCCCTTATCAATGTTAGGTGAAC